TACAAATAAATTTTAAAAATCATATGTTCTCTTCCAATTTGGGGCCCAGGGCACCCCTCTGTCTCCCTCAACTCCTCCAAGGCACCTGGCTCTGTCCCCCTCAGGGCTTCTGCATATACAGTAGTTACCACCAGCAGCGACCCTCCTAGTCCCCACCCTCACCCTTTGGGTCTCAGCTGTGCAGGGTCCCCTGCTAGAAGCCCTCCCAGGTCCTCTGCCCCAGGCTGGCCCCAGCAGAAGCTCCCCAGGCTGCGGTCCTTTGACCCGAGCCTGCTAAGCTCCAGTCCATGTTCCCCGAAGGCCTTGGCCAGGTCTGCCTTGCCCACCGTGCTGCAGGGCTCTGCAACTTTATCTATTTATTCATGGCACTGGGGATTGAGCCCAGGGCCTCCACCACTGAGCTCCACCCCAGCCCTTTTGGTTTTTATTTTGAGACAGTGTCCCACTAAGTTGCCTTGGCTGGCCTCAAACTTGCAGTCCTCCTGCCTCAGCCTCCCTAGTTGCAGCAACTACAGGGATCTGCCACTGTGCCCAGCCTCAATAAGTCCTTTAAACTTCTTCGGTCTCAGTCTTTCACCGGTAAAACGATCTCTTTGCCAGGATCACATAATTCTAACAAACAACTTTTGAAGAGAATGTGTCCTGAGCCAGTACACAGTGATCCCCAGAAGAAAGACCAACTGGCCTCAGTCTCCCATTTCACAGATGTAGAAACCGAGGCCCACAGAGGAGGCAGATGAAACCCTCGCACCCCAGGTCTCGCTCCTGCTTGGGACTCTGGCCTTTATGACCCATCCTAGACCCAAAGAGGAGGGTCAGAGAAGGGCTGGCGGGGCCCCTGGAATGTTCAGCCCTGGGAACTCCTGGGGCGACTCTCAGGGCCACAGCTGTCCCCCTTCCCTCCCAGAGCTGGAGAGGGCTCCTCAGGGACAGAGGGGGTGTCCTTTGAGCTCTCCGGAAAGGGGGGGCGCTTCTTCACCTAACCTCCCTGAACAGTATGACATAGTGTCACAGTCTGACTGCTGGGGACTCCAACCTCTGCAGCTCAGAGCTCAGGAAGGGCGGAGTCTTCCTTCTCGTCCGTCCGTCCCTTTCTCGTTTGCTGGGGCTGGATCCCGGGACTCACACAGCCTAGGATGGCGCTCTGCCACTGAGCTGCATCCCCAGCCCGGAATGTTCCTCAATATGAAGATCTTGTTGTTGTTGTTGTTAGTTCTGGGGATTAAACCTGGAGGCATTTGGCCGCTGAGTCACATTCCCAGTGCTTTTTCTTTTTCTTTTGAGACAGGGTCTCACTAAGGAACTCGCTAAGTTCTAGAGGCTGGCCTCGAACATATGATCCTCCCGCCTCGGCCTCCTGCCTCGCTGGGATTGCTGGCCCCGCCGCCATGCCTGGCTGTTATTTAAAATACAAAGTCAGTGCGGGAGCTAGTGCGCATTCTCCCGCGGATGGGTATTTCTGGGAGCCACCGTGTAGGCAGCGCGCAGCGGCGTCCGTCCGGGAAGTCTGGGAGCTGAGCAGCGTCGCTGTCCTCACTTCCAGCCCGGGGCCGCCACGCCGCGTCCCCACCCAGAGGGCGGACTTGACTGAGGGTCTCCGCGTGGGCAGGGAGCCGCGGAGCAGAGCTGGGCTCATTGTTCTTTATTTTTTGTGGTTGTTTTTCTGTATTTCCCCAGTTCTCCGCAGTGGGTTTGTGATAGTTTCCTAGACCAAGTGGGAGAGGGGACAAACACGTCCCCCTTGGAGAAAAATCAATTTCCCAAATGCAGACGGAGGGGGAGGGTCGTCCCAGTCCTTCCACGGCGCTGGGCTCCGGCTGGGCTCCGAGGCGGGGCCCCCCCAGCCTCCAGGCGCGAAGTTATTCTGGTCGCGGCGCCTCCGCAGCTGGGAGCTTTTTATAAACAGGATGAGTCCTCCCCGCCCCCACCGCGCCCCGTCCCCAGCTCCTCCCCCAGGGGTGGGGACCCAGGGGACCTGGACTCTCTTGGGGGCCACATGTCCCCTGCTGTTTGAAGACCAGAGTGAGTGGGGACAGGAGACCCACAGTGGGGGCTGGGGCTCCCCTCCCCGAAATCCTGACTTTGACACGCGAGGGAGCACGTTGGCCTCCGGATTCGCCATCTCCCCTGGGAGACAGGGGTCGCCCAGTCCCCCGAGTCTGTGCGCCTGGGTCAGTGAAGGGCTGGGGGGACCCTCTCGTACCTTCCCCGCTGTTTTTTTTTTTTAACCGCAGGCTTTGGAGGTTTAGGGGACAGGACACGTCTCTGACCCTATTTTGTCTTTTCTTCGAATTTTTCTCTCGATAATGGGGCCCAGGGAAGGGGAGAGTCTCGGAGCGTCCCTCGGTCCTTCCTTTTCTGGGAGATGGTGGGGAGGGGTGGCTCTTTTGACCCTATTTCTTCTTCTTTTAATCTCGTAAACAGGGGCGGGGTGGCGCCCCTGTCAGCCCGGTCCTCAGTAGAGGTCCTACACTTTGGGAATTGGACTGGGGTCTCTCTTAAACCCTCCTCCTCTTGTCCTTTTTTATTTAATTTGAACCCTAAAAATTGAGGGGCCATGGAGCATCTCTCGGATCCCAGTTCCTCTTTTCTCAAAATGATAGTAGGGGACAGTTAACCCGAAATCACAGCGCTTGGGACGAGGCAGGGGCTGTAGGCGACCCGGAGCTGGGTGGGCATTGGAGGAGAAGAGAACCGCCCCCCAAGACCAGGGCTCAGTCAAGGCCTCAGCTTCTCGGCCCTTCAAAAACCTAAGAGCCTCCATTGGACAGGAGAAGGGAGTCAACAGACACTGATTGGCTATATTGTCCGTCGCTCAAGTATTTAAGCCAATGAGAGGACTCTAATCAGCCCCGCCTTCCTGGACAGTACCAGAGGCGGAGCAGGAGCTGGAACCGCGCCCGCTCCTACAGCATGCACACATCTGGCCCCGCCCCATTCAAGCGTCAATCTGGGCGGGGCTCCGCCCCTTCTGGTTCTGCAAGATTCGGTGGGCATATCTCCATGCGCGGCTCCGCCCCGATGGCGTCACGACCGTATCTGCATGTGCGGCCCCGCCCCACTCTTTGCAGGACGTCACCAAGGACTGCAGGGGCCTGAGCCGCTGCCGCCGCCGCCGCCGCCGCCGCGCAGCCCCACATCAGCTCACTGGGGGTCCCCGTCACCGCCACCGCCCAAAAGTCACCGCCAGTCGGATCGCTGCCACATTGGTGCAGGGCAAGGTGAGCTCCCGGGCGTCCCTCTGTGCTCCCGCTCTGAGCACCTGCATAACCTTCATTTGACTGATGGGCTGGCGGAGGGGAAGGGGGTTGACCAGGGTTGAATGGGGGGATAGGAGCGGCGGTGGGGGGCCTGGGAAGGGGTTGGTCCGAGGGTCCCCCAACTTGTCGGATCCTCACAGTACCCCCCAACCCCCAGGCGCTGCGGCGGAGGGGGAGGGGAGGCGAGTGCCTTGCGGGAGCTGTGCGCGCGGGAGGCTCTTGCGTGCGCGTGCGCGTGGTGTGCACACGCGTGTGCGCGCCCGACAGTGTCAGCGGGTCTGTGTACACTTGCGTGTGTTCCTGGGTACGTTCACGTGACTCCGTGTGATCTGGGTCTAAGTATGTGCGTGCCGCACGAGTGCGGAGGGAAATTCACCGACTGTGAGTGTTCGCGCTGGGCTCTGTGCATAGGTGCACAAAGATTTGTGTCCATGTGGGTGATGTGCACGCACCTGCAGGGGAACCGGGGGCCGTGTGCTGGGGTGGGTTTGCACATCTCTGTGTGCGAACTGGTGTGCACACAGGTGCCTGCGGTTCTGCCCTGTGTATCTGGTGTTGGCACACTCATCTATGTCTGAGCGTGGATGGATGTGTGCGGATGTGTGCGGGACTGTGGACACCTGAGTCTGTACACGCCCCACCACGGTCACGTGATGCAACTGTTCTGGCCTGAGTTCTCCCTGCCTTGGCGTTTGGGGGAAGGGAAGCTGCAGACGCGCCACCCTGCCACCCGCGGGCCATACATTCGTGTGCATGTGCAGCCCGGTTCTGAGGACCATGAAAGATTGATGGGGGGGCGGGGCCGGCAACAGTCACCCCTCAAAGTAGAGCTTAGGGTTTAGGGTTACAGTTCTCACCTGGGGCAAGCCTGATGGAGGGGCTGCAGGGGTGGCCCCATCCCCTCTCCTCCTTTGAAATCTTGGACCTTTCAAGGTCACAGCTAGGCTTCTGCTGGGGCAACCCCATTAATACTGGGGCCCCTCATGGTTTAAGTGTGGTCTCCCAACACCACTGTGGTACTCCTCTGCCACTCTCCATCCTGGGCTTGGGAAGTTGGGGATGGAGAGAGCCCCCTCATGCTGTCCTACAACCCGCACCCCCAGATGGCATCCGCCACAGACTCCCGCTATGGGCAGAAGGAGTCCTCGGATCAGAACTTCGACTACATGTTCAAGATCCTCATCATTGGCAACAGCAGCGTGGGCAAGACGTCCTTCCTCTTCCGCTACGCGGATGACTCCTTCACACCCGCCTTCGTCAGCACTGTGGGCATCGACTTCAAGGTCAAGACCATCTACCGCAACGACAAGAGGATCAAGCTGCAGATTTGGGTGGGTCGGGCTGGAGGGCTCCTCCTCTTGCTGGAAAAGCAGCCCGTTTGGTTGCTTTTCCATGCATTCCTGGTTAGATTCGTGCATTCACACCTGGGGCACTTATCAGATGCCTACTGTATACCTGGGGGTGGAGGATCATAGAGCACCCCCGTTCCTCAGTGTCTAATTTCAGTGCCTGTTTCCCCATCTTGCAGTTCTTTCTGGAACTTCTTATGAGGCTTCAGCCAGATCTTGGCCCCTGTCCTCATTTCCTGGGACAGATGCTGCACGGGCCTCAGGGCTTCCTACCTTCCTCATTCAGTTCTACAGAGGCCAGAGGGAGCCTGTCCTCTCTGCCCACCCTTCATGGCTTCCATCGCACTCCTAGTAAAAGGAACCCCTCACTGAAGCCAGGAGTCCCTGCCTGGTCTCTCTATGTGGGATGCTCCTTCCTCCCTCCCTCCCGCCTTCAGGTTTTTAAATGTGCCCCTCCAACACTCCCCATCCTGGGCAGGCTTTACTTTTCTCCTCAGTCCTTGCTACCCTCTGACGGCTATGCTTATGTGGTTACTTCATGTTATTTTTGCAGTAACGGGGTGGAACCCAGGGCTTCACATGTACTGGGCAAGGGCTGGACCACCGAGCTCCACCCCCTGCCCATTTAATTTTCAGACAGGGTCTTGCTCAGGTGCCCAGGCTGGCTTCTACCTTGTGAGCCTCCTGCCTCAGCCTCCTGAGTCACTGGTTAGGCAGGCACCACCACAGTGCCGTGCATTCCACAGGAAGGGATTTCGGCCCATTTCATAAGCTCTGTGCTGTGACGGGGTGGAGCACAGGGTGTGTGGTTTGGTGCCCAGTATGTGTTTGTTGAATGAATAGGGATGGATTCTGCAGTAGGATGATCGAGTGCTACAAGTCTGGGATACAGGTGACCCAGAGAGCTTTTCATGAACCATAGAGTCCCTGGGTGAGAGCCTGTCCCCTGCTGGGCCCCGAAGGGACCAGCCTGGGTGATCTCAGAACGGATCTCCTCTATGAGGCGCTCACGGGTGGGTCTATGGCTCCCGTCTCTTCCTCCCAGGACACAGCAGGGCAAGAGCGGTACCGGACCATCACCACCGCCTACTACCGGGGCGCCATGGGCTTCATCCTCATGTATGACATCACCAACGAGGAGTCCTTCAACGCTGTGCAGGACTGGTGAGCACCATCCCTTCACTTCAGATGGAAATCCTTATAGGAATGCGAAGGGGAAACAATCTGGGATCTGACGAGGCTGGGAACAGACTATAAGAGCAGTTTGCATAGGTTGTAAACGTTCCTTTTCTTTTCTTTTTTCAGTACCGGGGATTGAACCCAGGGGTCTTAATCACTGAGCCTCACTCCCAGCCCTTTTTATATTTTATTTAGAGTCAGGGTCTCACTGAGTTGCTGAGGGCTTCACTAAGTTTCTGAGGCTGGCTTTGAACTCGCCATCCTCCTGCCTCAGCCTCCAGAGCTGCTGGGATTACAGGCGTGTGCCCCCAGCAACATTTGTTTGTCTTTCTTCTTCTTCTTTGTGGTTCTGGGGTCACACCCAGGGCCTTGTAAATGCTAGGCAAATGCACCACCACTGCGCACATCCCAGACCTGAGGTCGGACACATTTGAATGTTCTCCCTGGCCAGGGATGGTGGCAGGTGCCTAAGGTCTCAGGTGCTGGAAGTCTGAGGCAGGAGGTTTACAGGAGCCCAAGAATTTGAGACCAACCTGGGCAACATAGCCAGACCCCATCTCTAAAATAAAATGGGGCTGGGGATATGGGTCAGTTGGTACAGTGCTTGCCTCGCATGCACAAGGCCCTGGGTTCAATCCCCAGCACTAAACAAAAAAATAAATAGATAAATAAATAAGATAGCCAGACACAGTTGGTGCATACCTATAAAATTCCAGTGACTCAGGCGGCTGAGGCAGGAGGATCTCAAGTTGGAGGCCAGCCTTGGCAACTTAGTGAGACCCTGTCTTAAAATAAAAACTAAAAAGAGGCCGGGCACAGTGGCACATGCCTGTAATCTCAGCTGCTTGGGAGGCTGAGGCAGGAGGATCAGGAGTTCAAAGCCAGTCTCAGGAATTTAGCAAGGCCCTAAGGAATTCAGCGAGATCCTGTCTTTAAAAAAATATAAAAAAGAGCTGGGATGTGGCTCAGTAGTTAAGTGCCCCTGAGTTCAATCCCTGGTACCAACCCCCACCCAAAAGCCCCAAACCAAAAAGGGCTGAGAGTGTATCTCAGTGGCAGAGTGCTTCTGAGTTCAAGTCCCAGTACTGCAAAATAAGTAAGTAAACAAACAAATAAATAAATGGCCTGCCTAGCCATGATGGTAAACTTTCAGAGAATTTCTGAATTTGTTGCAGAGGAAGTAATTTCTCTGAGGGTGTCTGGGAACGGTGGGAGGGGTTGCTGGAGAGCTGGATTTTGAAGTGCAGGCAGCTTTTGGAGCAAATACCCACAGGCAGGAAAGAGCATGAGTTCTTGGCGGGAGCAGAGATGGGGCCTGGAGGGCTTCCTGGAGGAAGAGGCTGGTGGATGGAGAGAGGATAGTGGGTACCCAGCAGGACGAAGGCAGGGAGGAAGGGCCAAGCCTGCCATGTTGGAGGACTACGGGGCCATGGTGGCTGGAGGAGACCTAGGGTAGGAAGGTCGTGGGCCAACCTCAAGGTCTCTCTCCCCAGGACAAAGGGACAGGCCCTGCCCTAGAGCTTGGGAATGGGGCTGGGGTCCCCAAACCCCTAAACCCACCCATTGCTGCCTCATGCAGGTCGACCCAAATCAAGACCTACTCGTGGGACAATGCCCAGGTGCTGCTGGTGGGGAACAAGTGTGACATGGAGGATGAGCGGGTGGTGTCATCGGAACGTGGCCGGCAGCTGGCCGACCATCTTGGTGAGTGACCTTCAGACTGGGGACCCACAAGGTGAGAAAAGGGACACTGAAGCCCTAAAAGGGAAGGACACACACCCAAAGTCTCCCAGCGGAGTCAGGACAGGGATGGCTTCAAATCTAGGCAATCAGCGCTTTCTGCCAGCTGGCCTCACCCAGGAGCCGCTGGGAGGGCTCAGCAGTTCCCACCCTCTCACCGTCTGCTTCCTGCTGGGTGCTAAGGGCCATGACAGGCTTCCGCCTCACTGGGAGTGAGGTGGGCCCTAGCCCGGCCGTCAGCAGAGGAAACAGGTGGGCCAAGGCCAGAGATGAAAATGATCCTGTGTTAGGCCAGTTTCAGGGGCTGGAACACGGGGGTGGAACACGGGGGTTAACTGGAGGACACGCGGTCAGTTGTGCAGGGCCTCCACCATGAGCCGAGGAGCCAGAGCTTCTTAGAACAATAGGGAGCCATGGCCGGTATCTGAGGAGGGGAGGGCACAGTTGGATCCGAGTGTGGGAGGTCTCCAGGGCCTGTGCATGGACGTGGGCTGGACAGTGGGCATCGGAAGTGCTTGCTAGGGCCCTGGAGACAGTCTCAGGGTGAAGAACGGATAGGGGGCTGGGGATGTGGCTCAAGCAGTAGCCCGCTCACCTGGCTTGCGCAGGGTGCTGGGTTCGATCCTCAGCACCACATAAGAATAAAACAAAGACGTGGTGTCCACCAAAAACTAAAAAATGAATATTAAAAAAAAATTAAAAAAAAAAAAGGATGGGAAACGCAGGACGGTCCCGCCCTTCCCTTCTGTCTTTGGATGTTCACAGTGTGGCTTTCCTGGGTGACTTATCAGTGTCTTTAATGGGTCCTCGGGCTCTGGGAGCTGGGTGCAAAGAAGGATCTTTACCCTCCCTTTCCTGACCACAGGGTTCGAGTTCTTTGAGGCAAGTGCGAAGGACAACATCAACGTCAAGCAGACCTTTGAGCGCCTGGTGGACGTCATCTGCGAGAAGATGTCCGAGTCACTGGACACGGCAGACCCCGCTGTGACCGGCGCCAAGCAGGGCCCGCAGCTCACTGACCAGCAGGCGCCCCCGCACCAGGACTGCGCCTGCTGAGAGCAGCCCCGCCCCCGCCCCACCCCCCGGGCCTGACACACACACACACTCTCTCTCTCTCTCTCTCTCTCACTCTCTCACACACCCATTCTCCCACCCCCCGGGCCTGGGACCCGCCCCTGCCGTAGCCCATCGCCCTTATTTATTATCGTAGTTATTTATTTATTTATTGAAGATGTCCCCCAGGGGCCCGGGCTCCCCCGCCCTCCCCCCTGTACATACAGCCCTGCCCCTGCTCTGCTGTGGCGTGTCGTGGTCACCGCTCACCCTCCTCTGGAGACTTCACCTTTTTTTTTTAAAATTCACCCTCATCAGCAGTTGTTGGTTGTGAAGAGGGGACCAGATGACACCCCAGAGCAGGCTGATGCGGTGATGGGGTGGCCAGGCCCGCCAGCCCCTCCTGATGCAGCGCCCCGGGTCCCCTGCTCGGGCTTCTCCTGGTGGACCACAGGGGAGGAGGCCAGGACTCCTCGCCCCCAGTTTTGTCTTTTAGGTGGGAGGGGTGCTGGGAGTGGATTCCACCCTGGGACCACCCCTCCAGACCTGTTCTGACGTCACAAGTGTCAAACGTGCCCCTCAGTCCCCTAGGAGATGTAATGACACACTACACACAATCCAATAAAGCGAATGGACCATGCCCTGTCCCTCTGCGGCGGTCCCACCCTCCCCTTCTGTCTTTGGACATTCACAAGGTTTCAGTTACAGAGAGAATTTAATGGAATTTCCATGTTCACGACCAAAGAAGCGACCTGGAGGCTCCAGTCCTGCTTGAAGCTTTTGGAGTTGACTCCAGGCTGGACCCTACTCCAAGGGGATCAGCCATGTCCTTGCCTTGGTCCCCAGGGGCCTGGAAAAGCCCGAGTGTGGCTGTGTGGCCCAGAGCCAGGCCTTGGCAGTGGTGAGGGTTTGGTGCTTGGGACCAGCTGGCTGGCTGAGGCCCTGTGCTCAGGTGGGCCATCTTGGTCACAGGTCTTATTAGGCTTCCAGTGAAAAGGGTTGGGGGACGACTGTGCATCTGGTGGCTGTGTTCCAGATGGGAAATGGCCCGCTGTGAGCTTGGGAGGAGCTCAGCTAGATGCCTGGGAGTGGAAGGGCTGGGACACGGCCCCAGGACCCTGCCTGCTTCAGGAGTCCACTCCCCTTCGGACGGGAGGCCAGCTCTTAGTCGCTGTCGCCCTGTCTAGAGCAGGGATCTAGTCCTGGGTGTTAGCTCAGTCCGTTCGGGTGCCCAGGGTCACACAGCCTGGGGGTGTCAGAGGGCCGGGGACCTGTCAGCACAGAGGGTCTGGTCACAGGCATTGCTTCTGTGTCGGGGGCACTGGGGATGGAACCCAGGGCCTTGCACAAGCGGGCGGGGAACTCTCCCAGCCGAATCTCCTGCTCCCTGGGCCCTCATTTGTCTGTCCTCAGGTTTGGAGTCAGCCCTGCTCAACAGGCATACAGGGACCTGGTGGTCACACCGGTACCTGACCCAGACCGTCAGACAGCAGAGCTGCCTCTCCATGGCCGGGGAGCTCCCCGCCTGCCCTCCCTGGGCCCAACTGCCAGGGCCCTCACCCTCTGCAGTGGCTGTAGTGCCACTGAGGTTCACGGAGATGGCCCCAGGGGAATCCCCGGGTGCCGGGTCCACCCACCACACTCACCCGGTACTTCAAGTAGGACAGGTATGTGTCCCAGCCTAGCGTCAGACCATTGATGTAGGTGACCCGAAACTGGGGGGGCACGAAGAGGAAGTTCACCAGCTGCGCAGCGGGCCACACGCACCAGTCAGCCTAGGGGGAGGGGCGGAGTGCGGTAAGGGGCGGGGCCAGAGCCTTGAGGGGCGGGGCAGGAGGGCCGTCAGAGGCGGCGCTGCAGGTGGGCGGGGCCTGGGGATGCGCACCTTGTAGAATTCCCAGAACTTGTCCCGCAGCTCTTGGCAGCTTTCGTCCAGTGTCTGGCCCTCCAGGCAGCCGAGGCCTGGGAAGGAAACCAAGAAATGAGTGTCAGAGGCCACAGCTTACCGTGGAGGTGAAAGAGACCCATGATGATGGTGGGGCGGGGTTGGACCTCTGAGTGACAGAGCGACCCAAGCAGAGGGTATGGGACAGCAGGGTGGTTGGTGGAGGGGAACAACACAGAACAAGTCACTTATAAAATAAACACATGCTTCAAAGGAGATGCCCTGGGGTAGAATCTGGTTTTAGTTCTTCTTTACAGCCAAGGAAACTCTGAGCCTGGAGGGTGGGGACGAGCAGCTCTGCCAAGACTCTCCACAGAGCCTGGGGCTGGGATGACTGTACCCCATTAATCCCAATCGCACTCCTCTCCCTTTAGGCCTCAGGGCCTTTGTGTAGGCTGACCCTCCTGTTGCCAGCTCAGTGTCTGCTGAGTGTCCAACCTCCTATTCAAAGCAGCCCCCAAAAATGTCCTCATCTCCCCCACACTCACCACCATTCACACCAACCCCCACTGGCTCCCTGAGGGTCAGATTGGGTCTATTCTGTCACCCAGTCCAGGGCCACCTACACAGGAAGCGCATCAGAATCACACCTCAGCATCCTTAACACAAACCTGTCTCCACCTATCCCAATCTATGAGGGGCAAAACCCAAGATCTTGGGCTCCTTACCCACGAAGTACCAGACGCCTAGCATAGGAGAGGCGACGAGCTGATCCACGAGGACCTTCTTGAGGATGTTTGGGAGGCCTCGGAGGCCCGATGCAGGGAGTATGCGATCCAGCCACAGGTACCAGTAGTGCAGGACGGGGCCCATGCTGCAGCCCACCATAAACATGCTGGCTGAGGCGGCAGAAGAAGCAGGGTGCCAGATCAGGCCAGCAAGCCCCACAATACACTCCCCTCTGGCCAAGATGTGGGTAAGCTCTATGCTCTCCCCAAGCCTCAGCAGAAAATCGGGCGAGCTCAACCGTGTATTCCTCCACTACAAGCCCCACCGCCAGACAGACGCCGTTCCAGGCTCCTCGGTGGATGGCAGAGATCCCAGGGATTGGGGGTGACGGACACCTGGGGGTGTTAGGGGACAGAGACTAAGGGAGGGATCATCAGAGTCCTTAGACTTAGTGCACGCCTAGATTGTGTCCTGACGGAGACGGAGGCTACGGATCAGGGATGAATGATCACTGGCCGGATACGAAGATATCCGAATCTTAGGTAGGAACAAAGGTCCCCGGAGGTGAAGGGCCAGCAGCGCCGGCGTCCTCACCTGAGCGCCACCGGTCAAACCTCTGGCCAGGTCGGGTGCGGATCTCCCAGGACTGGCGTGCGCCATCCCCAGCTGCCATGAGTGCGCCGCAGCCCAGAGTGTTGGTGATGAGAAGCGCACGGCCCTGGAACAAGGGTTGCCCCGCTGCCCACAGACCGCGCAGCCACTGCCAGCCACCCGGCGCCATCGCCACCCTGGGCGCAGGAACCGGCGCGCCGCTCTGCCCCGCCCCGACCTGCGCCAGCCAACCATGAGTCCCCCCGCCTCCACGAATCCCCGCCCACTCCGCCGCGGACCAATCCACACTGTCTCCCAGCCCTCGTGTCCGCCCCAAGTCGCCCCCGACCAATCGCTGATTTTCACGGAGCTTCACTTGCCCGCCCCTAGCAGTATTGACCAATAATAAGCAGCCGAGCTCTCCCAGGGTCGGTCGTTGAAAGCAGCTATGTACCGCCTCCCGAACTAGCGGACCAATCGCAAGTAAGTGTTGCCCTGACATCCAGCGTGCCCTGGGGGAACTTTAAACCCCCCTTTCCCGCCCCTTTCTGAGCCGGCCTATGGATAACAGTAACCACACCCCCGGATGCCACTATTGGCCAATCGCTGCCTGTTGCCCCGCCTCCCGCGTTGAGATGGCCAATCTTAGGCAGGTACTACAGTCTGGGTTTGAGTGCCTTCCAGATTTCCAGATTCTCCTGGAGTTGGTGACAAGAGTGGGCTTGACCGCTACAGGAGACTGAAGTCTCCTCCTGCAGAGCCTTCTGGAAGTTGGACGTGGGGAAGAAGCCTCAGCTCTGCACCTCATCCAGATGTTGACCTTGGTCCTGACCTTTCCCGGGTCTTAGACCTCAGTTGCCTAAAAATAAACGTTAGACACTGTCCTGGGCTGAATCATATCACAGCAGCATTGTGCTGTTGTAGAAACTGTGACCTCCTCGTTTTCTGTAGGGGAAAATGTCATCTGTGTTGCAGAAAACTGACCACCGGCCAAATCCTGTTCCTGCCTGGTTTTGTAAGATGTTTCTTACATTTCTTTTTCCTTGATCCTGGGAGTTGAATTCAGTAGCTCTCTACCACCGAGACTCATCCCCAACTAACTTTTCTTTTTTTAGTTTTAGTTTTAGGTGGACACAATATTTGTTTATTTTTATGTGGTGCCAAGGATTAAGCCCAGTGCCTCACATATGCTAGGCAAGTGCTCTGCCACTGAGCTACAGCCCCAGCCCTAATTTGAACCTCTTTTTACAGATATTACGGCTGCGTAGAATTATCCTGATCTGCCTGAATTCTGGGATTTGTTCCTTGTAAGTCCTACGTCCCTTCTTCAGGGGAAGTGGTGTTCTTCTTGTTGGCATTTCCTAGTCTGTCTTTCCCCTACAGACAACAGGTAGTTTGCTGAGGAATTTAACATACTCTGTTGACTTCAGTCAAGCAGGGCTGCAGATAAATGGCTTTTTTAAATATTTAAATTATTTATTTATTTTAATTTGTTATGTATGACGGCAGGATGTAATTCCGTTCGTGTTACGCATATAGAGCACAATTTTCCATGTCTCTGGTTGTACAAGATGAATTGCTAAGTGAAATCACGCTGGGGTCATGGGGTTCCATGTTACACTGGTTCCCTTAACTCCTGTTCCCATGTCTCACATCCATCTGTCCCTCATCACTTCTGTCTCGGCTCCCAGGGTCGCTGGGGTTCCAGGCACGCATCTCTGCACCTGGTCTTTATGGGCCTCTTTAGAAACAGCTCCAACCATTTTGCTTATCTTGTTGGTCACACTCCACCCTTCCTCCAGCCCTCCTGATTTGGCATCACTGAAAACTAGGACTGCGCCTTCCCAATGCTCCGCCAGTGCAGCTGCACAACTTCATGTAAATGGCAAAGAAATCTTCACAACGGACCGTGTATAACATGGTGGGTCACTAGAGTTCTCTGGACTTTGAACTTGGCTGTTTCCTGGAGCAGGTGGTGTGAGGTCCAATCCTCTCTGAATGCCAGGCAGCTCCCAGTCAGTCCCGTGATCAGGAGGGGAAACACCGACACTGTACTCATTGACTACAGCCCTGAAATTCAAAACCCTAATGGCCCTGTGGGTTTCGTTGTCACCCCATTGTGAAGTCAAAAAGTGGTAAGGTGATCTATACCAAGTTGGCCCATGTAAACACTTTGCACTCCCCGTGACCAGGGAGACTGCAGCAGGAGGATTGCAAGTTAGAGGCCAGCCTCAGCAACTTAGCAAGACCCTTTCTGAAAACAGGAGAAGAAAAAAAGGAAGAGTGGCCTGGGGATATAGCTCAGTTGGTAGAGGGTTTGCCTCCCATGCACAAGGCCCTGGGTTCAATCCCCAGCACCACAAAAAAAAAAAAAAAAACAAAAGAGGAGGGTGGAAGAGGAAGGTGAAGAGGAAGAGAAACAGAGGGGGTTGGGGTGTTGCTCAGTGGTCAAATGTCCCTGGAATTAATCCCCGGCAGTGCAAAAAAAAAAAAAAAAAAGTTCAGTGAATACCAAACGTCATCATCATAAAGACATTGGAACCGAAAACCAAGTGTCCTATTGGATTGCTTCCCCAGCCCCCACTAGATCTTCACTACCATCTAAAGATGTTTACGACTGCCTAAAAATCTCTGCTCACTGGCCCGTGATTTAAAAATGTGAGTTTAGAGCCAAGGATGTAGCGTTGGCCTGGGCTCCACCCAGCTCTGCAAACCCACCACGTTGCACGTTGGTTCCAATCATTAAACTCAGCTTTTTTTTTTGTACCAGGGATTGAACCCAGGGGTGCTTCACCACTGAGCCACCTCCCCAGCCCTTTTTTTTTTTTAATTTTTTTTTTTTAGAGATAGCATCTTGCTGAGTTGCTTAAAGCCTTGCTAAATTGCTGAGGCTGGCCTTGAACTCTCCATCCTCCCACCTCAGCCTCCCAAACTGCTGGGATAACAGGCATGAGTCATGTTGGCTGCTTGGCAGTTCCTTTGTTTTGGTGGAAATAATCCTGGTGAAGTGCGTGTGGCTCAGGGTAGAGCACCTGGGTCCAGCCCCGCCACCCGCCAACCCAGCCTGATGGCTCTCACAGTACAGAGCTCTGTGCTATGGTGCCCCCCCTCAGCAACACCACCGCCCCCCGAAATGAGAGCCGTCCATGGAACCTGTGCAGGGCCACTTTCTTCAGCTTGTTTCAGTTTTTGTTTTCTCTCTTTTTATACATCTAATATCTCAAAACTTTTTTTATATTTATTTTTTAGTTTTAGGTGGCACAATATCTTTATTTTTTAATTATTTTTATGTGGTGCCGAGAATCGAACCCAGTGCCTCACGCCTGCTAGGCGAGCGCTCTACCACTGAGCCACAACCCCAGCCCACATTTTTTTCTTTTTGTTTTGCAACTAGAAAGGTCTTTCCACGAACCACACCTGGGCTTCAGGGATCCTCCTGCCTCAGCCACCTGAGTAGCTGGGACTCCCAGCGCCCATCACTGTGCCTGGCCCCTGTTTGGGATTTTACGTGTCCCGAAAGTGTCTAATGGTTTGATTTCAGCTCTCACAGGGGAGCTGGGCCAGTGTCCTCATGTCTCTGTTACCTTTCTTTTGCAGCCCTGGGGTTAGCCCAGGACCTTGCACATGTAGGACAGACGCCCCACTACGGGGCTGCAGCAGCCTCTCTGTTCCATGCTGTTTCTCAGAGTCCTGACAGTGTTCCAAGCGATATTAGGCAAAAATAGTCCATTAGCAGCCAGAAATTCAGTTAATGATTAAAATGTTAATTTGGCCAGAGTCCCTCTAGGGTGCATTTAGTCCTCACATTGCTCCATCCCCAGGTCTGCACAGTGAAAAATCAGAGCCTGCATTCATTATTGTTATTTTATTTTTTGCAGCGCTGTGGATGGAATCCCGGGCCCCACACAGGCTAGAACAAGACCGTTCGCCCCTGAGCCACGAGCCCAACCCCTGAGATGCTGCGGTGGCTGCTGCTGATTTTTTGGTTCTGGGGATTGAACCCAGGGATGCTTAACCACTAAGCCACATCCCAGCCCTTTTTATTTTTTAGAGACAGGGCCTCGCTAAATTGCTGAGGCTGACTTTGAACTTGTGATCCTCCTGCCTCAGCCTCCCAAGCCACTGGGATTCCAGGTGTGCGTCACCGCGCCCAGCTTGACTTTTCCACTTTTGAAAACTATCCAAGGGGCTGGGGTGTAGCTCAGTGGCTGCCCAAAGCCCTGGGTTCCATTCCCAGTGCTGCAAAAAATGGAATAAAATAAATCATCACAACCAGGTGAATTTATTACGTATTCATTGAATCTCAGTCTTGCACCTTTCTCAGGGAGGCAGAACCCTGGATCACAGGGTGGAATTTTGGGTCTGGGCTTTGCGGGGTGTCTAGAAGTCCCCCAGTTGGTGAGTCGTATCTGCCGAGGGCTGGGGATCCGAAGAAGGGTGGCAGCTAGGCTCTGGCTCTTCCTGTCCTTTCCGTCCTGGGACACTAACTCCTGGTCACTTGTAGCAGACCTCCCTGGGGGTGGTGGCCATGGAGGAGCAGACATCTGGCTTCTCCTCACCCTGGAGTGGGGGGTCAGAGTGGGAGTCCTGGCAGGAGGGGCTCCTCCCAGCAGCGGGCTCCCGGGCGGCCGCCATCTTACCTGATACAGCTGGCAGACGAGGCTCAGGAGCTGGCTGGGGTCTTTCAGGGGCTTCTGCACAGAGAAAAGCAAGCAGCCCCACTGACCACCGCCCCGCCATCCTGCTCTGCTGCTCTGGGCCCCCAAGGGGTTGCCAGGGTTCCCAAGACTGGCTCAGACCAGTGGGCACCTCCACCACCCGGACCCCCTCCCAGGGTCCCGCTGTGGGCGCTCACACACAGTCTTACCCCGTTGACGAGGATCCAGGGCACATACTGGTGGGGCGGCTGCAGCGCGTCTGTGAGCTGGGCGTTGGCGTGCATGAGCTGGGTGCCTCGCGCCCCGGTTGCGCAGTCCATGATGCTGTCTGGGGACACCTCGGGCGCATAGAGCTCCAGGCACTGGGGCAAGGGGTGGGCCAGCGTGTTGCTCGGCTTCCTCCCTGTTATCTCCCCAACGGTCCCCTCTGCCTCCCCCCACCAGGTTTGTTTCCTCACTGGCAAGAGGGGACAGTTGGTTCCACAGCCATGCAACAGTGCCCATAAACAGTAGGTGCTCATTATGGGCCTGAATGGAGGCCCCTGAGGCTGGGGTTCAGGCTACTCCTGCCTCCCACCTTTGGTGCTCTCCCTGCTAAGACCAGCCGCTTTCCACGGGTCTCTCTACACTCAGAGCTTGGTGCATGCTGTTCCCACGCATGAACACCCTTCCTCCTCCTCCTCCCTCCTCCCCAGTGTTCCCTCATCCTCTTCACTCCCCAGCCCCCCTCTGATCCTGCAAGGTGGGGAGTGATGGGGTGAGGCTTCTTGGGTGTCCTGGATGTTTGATGAATGAATACATGATTGGGGTGGGGGATCACCCTTTCTTTGGGCAATTATTATTTTTGTTTTACAATCCCCCAGGGAAATAGGTAGGGCCTCTCCTATCTATTGTCCCCATATCCTATCATCTATGTCCCTGCATCTTCCTGCGCTTCCTTCCATGCCCAGCTCAGAGATGCCTCCTCCAGTATGGCTTCCCTGATGCACTTGCACCCCCCCAAGGGACCTGCCTGTGTCCCCCTGACCCAGAGAAGGGAGCTTTGACAAGAGAAGCTCTTTTCCTGGGGCGACAAGGACAGTGGAGCTGGGACTGGAACCTGGGCTGGCCAGGGTCCGCGTTGCTCACCGGTTTCAGATGTTTTTCCATGTCGTCCAGCTGTTCCAGGCAGACAATGGTGAGGAAGGCAGCGCTCTTCTCCAGCTGGTCCAACAGGCAGGCCTGGGACCAGAGAGGGGGCGGCCAAGGTCAGGAGGGGTCCCGACACCCCAAGGCTTCTGGGGACAAACACAGTGCCTACGGCGGATGAGGGTAAGGCGGATGGGATGGCGGCGAGGCGGGAGGCGCCGAGGATGGCGCCGGCAGCGGTCCTTCCCTACGGGCGCCCCAGGCTGCGCAGCCACTGCGTGCCCCGGTCCCCGCTCACCTCCACCTTGTTCAGCTGGCACTCCCGCTCCCCGTGTTGGCACGTGAACTCCCACGTGCCGCTGACATTCCGCTCCTGCAAGCAGAGAGCCCAGTGAGCCCGGGGTCGCCACCGGGCGACCCCTCCCGGGTTTCCCTGGCGCCTACCCACCTGGGCGTTTCCGTAGGGAACCAGGGTGACATTGAGGATCTCCATGACCATCAGCCACGTTGGGAAGAGGTCTCTGACCAGGAAGTACCTGCAGCCTCCGCACAGGGACTCGTAGTAGAGGCTCACATTGACCAGCAGCTCCGGGGACTTCTGGAGGGGCTCCCGCAGACACAGGTCGTGGACCTGCCAGGAGCAGGGCGCAGGGCGTGTGTGAGCAGGCGCAGCCCCCGGGGCAGCTCCCCGTGCATTGGGGCCGCGCTGGGATTCTTGGAGAAGGGGAAGGGCAAGCAAGAGGTGCACCTTGAACTTGGGCCAGGTCTTGCAGGGTGGGGGTGGGGGACCCTGCTTTTTCTTTTTCTGTTGTCTCTGCAGTGCTGGGGGTGGACGCCAGGGTCAAGCACAGGCGAGGCAAGTGCTCCACCACCCGAGCCACTACTCCAGCCATCAGAAATTTTACTGTACCCTCAAACGGTCCTCAGTCTCAGTTTGTCTACAAATCAGGCAGAACAGTCGTGCAAACAGTAGGCATTCAGTATATGCACAGGCCTCGCTTCCTTCCAAGTGAGGTAATGCCCCCTCACTCATAAGGGCTGGATACAGTGAAGGGTCAGGCACTTGTATTCCTGGTCGCTGCACTGGGAATTCCACCCAGGAGCGCTAACCGCTGAGCTCACCCCAGCCCTTTTTACTCTTTTTATTTTGAGCCAGGGCCTCGCTAAGTGGCTTAGGGCCTCGCCAAGTTTCTGAGGTGACCTCAGATTTATGATCCTCCTGCCTCAGCCTCCTAAGTTGCTGGGATTTCAGGCGTGTGCCACCATGCCGAGCCTCAGCTCCACTTTTTTGGAGGTGCATACCATGGAAGCCTAATGCATGCTCATTTCTTATCACTCCTTCCCTCCCCAGATCCTGGGCCCTGAGCTAAGCAAGGACCGACTCCCACGCGGACTTATTTATCCTTCCTCTCCGGGGATCCACGTGAACCTCACCCATGCCCCACTAAACAGAGGCGGCGCCTAATATGTGCTGACTTCCGGCTTCAGCAGAAGGGTGGCAGGCGGGTCTGGTCTCCGGGACCATGAGCAAGTCGCTCAGCCTTCGGGGCATCTGCTGCTCCCTAGCAGAAGCGCGCCAGGCCTCCTCCAGGCTGGAATGCGCGCCCGACTGGCCCGAGCGCCTGCGGGCGCCGGCGCCGCGAGCCCTTAGATCATCGGGTCACCTCTGCCTCCAGGAGGAGGCCCGGGTTCCCAGGCGAGAAGTATACCGTAGGTGCTTAACCATCAATCGCGAGGGGCGGGCGGGTGACAGCTGCGGGTCTCAGACACGCGATGGGGAAGCAAAACTACTCGGCGAGTGTGTGACCACGGTGACGGGAATGAATGGGGCGGGAGAGCGGGCACCGGCTGGGACTGCGTCCCCTCGGGAGTCCCCACCTGATCTTCCCAAGCAAAGTCCGGGCTGGGGCGCGGTCCCCTCTGGCCCGCCTGCCGCGTCGCTGTCCGACCCTACCTTGCAGGCGGACACCCTCTGGGAGGCCAACGAGGACGCCCGCGTCACAGCGGGGACTTCCAGTAGCAGCAGCAGCAGCAGCAGCAGCGGTAGGGACGGCAGGAGTGGCGACGGGGCCATACCGGCGGGGGGCAAAGGCGCAGCGGCTGGAGTGGCCGCCCGCGGGAAGGAGGCGTCTTTATCCTGGCGGTGGCCCCGCCCCCAGGCCAGGCCACCCTCGGGTGCCCACGCCCCTCGGGGCCCAGGCCAAGTGTCGCTGGGATCTTTCCTTCTTTCTCTGGGCCTGCTTTCCAACCTGCCCACGCCACCAACCTGGCCAGACGCTGCGCCCCAGATCAAGACAAGGCGGTCGGTCACCTCCTAGCTCCTGCTGGGCCGCCGGCCGCACCCAGTCATGCCGGCCCGGGGTCCAGAGCCCTGTGAGCCCGGGTGAGTCAGGGACACTCTTGGGATCCCCAGGGAATCAAGGCCTGTCCATGGCCTCTGGGTCCCACTCTAGGGCGCTCCTGAGCTCTGATGAGATTCTGTGCCTGAAGCCAGCAGGGGCTGTGCGGCCTGGGTCCCCTCCCTCCGGCCAGGCCCAGGATGACCCCTTCTCCTTGCCTAACCCTTGTGACTGGCCCCTCCCCCTCCCGCCTCGGGCTCCAGACTCTGCGCTACCAGTTGATCCCCGCTTGGCCACAGCTCAACAAAAAGCAGAAGCCGCCACCCAGTGGGATCCCCACCCCTACTTTGGGGTGGGGGACAGGAGGGTTGGGTACCTTCTTTCCTGAGCAAGGCTTGGGGTGGGGATGTCCTGGCCCTGCGGGGCAGGGAAGCGTTTGCCATGTACAAGGCGGGTGGGTGGAGAGGGTGGACTTGGGGGGGCCGCAGAGCAGATGGAGTCAGTCTGGCACCCACTTTGCTCCCGGGACACCACTGATATCTTAGAGAAAGGGAGCCTCAGTTTCCCCATCTGTAGGACGGGAAGGAGAGAGGTTTGGGGGATAAAGCCACCACAGAGCCCTCAGAGGCAGGAAGCACTCATTCCAGGCTGGGCCCCAGGAGGGTACAGCTGGGTCCTGTGGCCCTGGGAAGGGGCCATCCAGGACGGCCACTCCAGCGGCCCCAGCAATGCAGACGAAGTGTGGCCTCCACAAAGGGCCTGGATGGAGGCTAGGGGATTTTTTATTTTTTTTGAATAACCACGAGGTTTGAAAAACCAGCCTCTATCTCAGATCAGAGCCTGTCCAAGGAAGGGACATGACCTTTGTCCTTGGAAAGACCCACAGAATGCTCCTAGGCACATTCCCACCCTGCTAAGTGGTTTATCTACAAATAACAGGAGAGATCTGCTGCGACAGGTGTCCCAGACTCAGTCAGGGTAGATGGGGACCCGTAGCTACCCCCTAGCAGCCACCAATCAGCATGAGACAGGGAAATACCTGGGATCCAGATGACCCTCCCAGTAGTTTATGGTGGTTGATAACGAGTTGGGAAACCCTGTAGTTCAGCAGGAACACCCTTGGTGGCTTAAACCAGTCAGTTCAAACGAATCCCCCTCTTGTAGTGACCAATCACCCCTACCCAACTTGTTCCCGCCAGTGACTGCGCTAATCAGGTTTTAGAGTTGTTATTTGATTTTCCCTCGGTGTGTGATGATTTGCTAGGAGATGCTGTGATGTATGTGGGGGTCCCTGCCTTCTCCAAAGAGTGCATAAAACTGCTGCAAACCCTGGGCTCGGGGCCTCTCAGCGTCACCAGTTGCTGTGTGCGGGCGCAGAGGACCAAGCTAGCTCGCAATAAACACCTCTTTGCTGCTTACATCCATCTTGGTCTCTGGTGGTCTCTGGGGGTCCCGAATTCGAGCATAACAGGTTCAGATGCTGCAAGCCTGGCCAGCCACGGAGCCCAGTCCCAGGAAGAAACACCAGACCCTGCTAGGAGACGAAGCTCCACGTGCCTCCATGAAGCAGTGGCAGACTCCGGAGCGGAGTTTCCCTGAAGCCCCAGAGACAGAGTCCCCGTGTCCTAGGAGGACCAAGCCAGTAACCAAGCCTGGCTCCTCCTCTTCATTTTTGTGGTGCTGGAACCCAAGGCCTCGCCCAGGCCGAGCATCTGCTCAGCCACTGACCCTCACCGAGCCCTCCATTTCCTTTTTTTAGTGTGTGATACTGGGAACCAAACCCAGGGTGCTCTGAAATAGCCACCACACCCCAGCCATTTTCGTTTTGAGACGGGGTCTTGTTAAGTTACACAGGCTGCATCACACTTGTGATCCTCCTGCCTCAGTCTCCTGCGTCAGTTCTTCCCAAGATTCAGTACTTCATCTTCAGGACATTACTGTGCGGAGCCTCAGCCTGTGCTGGGTGAGACTGAAGCAATAATAAATAAAATTGCTACAATTTTTCCTGTGGTTCCTTGGTATCTTCCCTAATGGAGGAAGTCATGTTAAGTACTCTCATCATTTAACTTGTATGCTTGGTGTCAGGCCCAGGTTGGGGCCACAACTCACAAATGTATCACTAAACCCTCAGAGGCATCTAGCTGTGGCCAGGGATAGCAACTACAGACTCCATCTGGTATTGAGAAAGCTGTGATCAGAGAGGTTAGGCAACTTTGCCAAAGATGCACAGCAAGCTGCATGGTGATTTGAGTGTGAAGAGCACATAGGCTGTTGCCAAGCACCTCTTACCCCTGGCCCAGTCTGGCTGGGGCGTGGGCAGAGGGCTTTTGTCTTGTGACCACACAAGCAACAGGAGGCATCCTACAGGCTGGAATTACTTATGGAATATCTCCAGCTGGGCATGTGACAGGAAAGGAGCTTGGGGACTCAGAGGAAGCTGTCTTGTCCTGAGAGTACAGCCAGCCGCCTGGGCGGGGGTTTTTGGTTGATTTCCTCCCAGCTGCCCAGGCACGCGGGCTTTTTTTTCTTTGGGGATTGAACTCAGGGGCACTCAACCACGAAGCCGCATCCCCAGCCCCATTTTGTCTTTTACGTAGAGACGGGCCGCACTGAGTTGCCTCCCTGTTGCTGAGGCTGGCTTTGGGCTCGAGATCCTCCTGCCTAAGCCTCCTGAGCCTCTGGGATGACAGGCGTGGGCCACCGGTGGCATGTGAGGTCTTGGGGGGAGCCAGGGGGGGTTCTCTGCTCCCCGGAGAGTGGCAACTAGAAGTCCAGGTCCAAGAGATGCAGGACCCTGGGACCCGCCCTGGGTCATGGTCCCCGAGTGTCGAACAAATGTCTAGAGGGGGCCCGGGAGGTCCTCACAGTAGTTACATGCTGCATCTGAGGACATGGGGCACCCTCTGGGTGGCACGAGGAGTGTCGGGACTATTGATGCCACTCGGCAAGGAGGAAGCTGCAGATCAGAGAAGGGAGGTGACTTCTTCCGAGGGCACAGCTGGTGGCCCAGCAGGGACTCAAACCTGGAGGCTGGTCAGAGCCAGAGGAGGCCCCGGGTACCCCTGAGCAGGAGCTGGGGGCTGATCAGGGGGCTGAGCGGGTGGCTCTCCCGAGGGACACTAGGTGGGTGTGGAGTCCTCTGGACTCATGTGGCCCAGGGTGGGGGAGTGAAGGCCTTGGCACTCGGAGGTGGCCTGAGGTTAAACCCACAGTCCTGGCCACTGTGACCCACGCATGCCAGGGTCCCCCTGCACATGGGGACTGCCGAGAATCCCAGGCATCAAGGACACACTCGGGCCCATGTTCAAATGTTTTATCTCCGTGTCGAAACAACGTACCGTACAAAAGCTGCGCCCAGCCTGGCGGGCGGGCGGGCAGCGGGTCCCGGGCAGTGTAGAAAACAGGGCCCTGGCCCAAGAGGCCGAGGGGGAGCTTACAGTCAGGAAAAACAAATCGAAACCCAACATGATCGGGAGGAGCTGAACCTGGTCAGTGGAGGTACCGTGGGCAGTGTCGCAGCGGTCACCCGGCGGCGCAGCCTGGAGGCCTGGGCTCCGGGCAGGCGCTCACCAGTTTATTTTTGACTCTTGTCGCGGGCTGTCAGGCGACGGTTTCACTTCAGTGTCGGGAGGGGAAGTTGGGGTCCGTGGGGCGGGTCCCGCCCGGCCCCGAGGGTGGCGGCCGAGGTTCTTGGAAGCAGCCGAGCGAAGTTCCTTCCTGCCCTGACCCCAGGTCTATGGCTTAAAAATCGGGGCGCCCAGGCCGGGGCCGCGCAGCCCGGGGCCTCTGTAAACATGGAGGTGCAGCCGGGAGGGGCTCCGGGGACTGCGGGGGCGTGGCGAGGGGCGCCGTCCAGGGGCAGGGGTGGAGGGGCAGGACCCCCAACGTGGAAACAGAGACAGAGACCAGGAACGGGAGGGAGGCCGGGAAGGGGGCAGAGCGAGCGGGGAGGGGACCCTGGGGGCTGGTCTGTCCTGGGCTCAGCGCGCGGCGGGCGGCGGCCCGGGGCCGGGGGCGCGCACGGGGTGGGCCAGGGTGACGGGCAGCGCGTCGTTGTGCTGCACCAGGGACGCCTGCTGGTAGTGCAGCACCAGCTCCTTCAGCGACCCGTACAGGTTGTAGGGCTCTGCGAAGCCGAAGCCGGTGGCCGTGCGGTAGATGACACAGTGCTTGGTGTCACCGTCCACCCTGAGAGGGACAAGGGCTGGTCAAGAAGCGCCCCTTCCTCCCACGCCCCCGGCCAGCCTCCTCCTGGGGAGCTGAGGGGCTGTCCTCTGAGGGCCCGGCGCACAGTAGGTGCTCAATAAGGGCACTCACACCACGGAGCAGGCGTAGCAGCCGCGCTGGCTGCTCTCGCGGATGAGGAAGGTGCCGTCGCGCTTGCCGCTGAGCATCTCCTCGGCCTGGGTGCGGTTGATCTTGCCCACGTACCACGTGCGCTCCTCGTGGTGGGGGAGGTCCTCCTCGTCCTCCATCAGAGCGTACTGGCTGTGGGGGGGCAGGGACGGGGCCTGGTCACTCATCTGCAGCCCGCGCCCCGCAGAGCTTCCTCCCTGGCGACCTCCCACTCCTCCTTCACAGCCGCCACAGGCCCCTGCTCTAAGGCGCACCCTCCCCTCCTCTTCCAGGTAGTCACTCACTCCTCTGTTTCGTTTTTGATCCCCAACCACTCATTGATCTTCTTCTGCCGGGCACCTTTTTGGGTAAGCCACCTGAGGACCAAGAAGAAAGAGGACGGTGGGCACCTGCTGCTGGGGGAAAACAGGGAGGGCGCGCAGCTGGCCCGGGCAGCCCCGTGGGAGGCAGCGGCTAGGAGACAGGATAAATTCTATCCCATTACGAGGTGACCTTGAGCTGGCCAAGGGCCGCTGGTTCCCGAGCGCTGCTTGCTAGCCGCCTCTCCTGTCCACTGACCTTCACGTTTAGGAGGCCCTGAAACCCCCCAGGCCCTGATAAGGCCTTATCACCACGCGCAGAGAGACTCAGTCCTGGGGGCCGCCGCACTGCTGTTGGCCTTTGTCCAGCAAAGCTGTCTGCCCTGGGCCTCGGCTTCCCCAGCTAAGGGCAAACTTGGGAAAGAGCTTGGAAAGGAATAAACACGCTAATATGCAC